ATCCCACCGTCTTGCCACCACCCCTCGCCTTTCACCATCGCCATCGCCGGTGCCCGTCTTCGGAGGCTCGCACGACCAGCTCACCGTTCGCTCGCTTGCTATCTGCATCACAAACGCGCATAGCATACATCACAGGCCAACACCGGATCGATCGTCAGTGCACCGCTCAGACCGAGTGGCCATCACAGAGAATGGTCCGCACGCTCCAGCATTCCAAGTAGCTTCATACCCGGCGCTCGAATCGAGCCGCTCTCCCTCAGGCACAGACACACCGACCCCACCATGATCGATATCTTGCGACCAGCACCTAGCAAGGCTCGTCCTTCTCCACAACGACCCGCCTCGCCCACCCTCTCCCCGGCATCGTCCAACTCCACCCTCAAGGCTTCCTCTTCCTCTCGTACAAAGCCGGACCCTGCATCCACCTCGGCCTCCGCAGCTCGATCAAAGGGGCAGCAGGCGCGTCGCTTGAGCATAGAGACCGCCGTCACCTCATCGCGCAGGTATCGCTACAACCGTGTGCGGCAGCCAGACCAACCCCTGGATCTCGATCAGCCTCCCTTCAGACGCTCTACGTTTGCCTCCTTACCTTCGCATCACGCAAAGGCAGCTCGTGCCACCGCCAAAGATGCTCGCTCTCGTGACGCCTCGCTCGTCGCCCCCTCGACGCCCGAGTTGCGTTCCTCCCAACGCAGCAGCAGCAGCAGCAGTCGCAAGCGCTCGCGCCCTCAGAAGCCGCTCCTCGGCGGCCTTTACTTTTCCGACCTCATCGTCGTCGCCTTCTTCTACGCAGTCAACCTGTTGCGCACCTGCGGCATCGCAGAGCTCGTAGACGTCGCCTTTAAGGCTTTCGCCTACGTCTGCACCCGGCTTCCCTTTGACTTTTATCAGCGATGGTCGCTCAGCCGCCCACCTTCCACCCAGTTTGCCTCCTGGACACCGCTCACCAACCATCCTCCACCACCCAACCACCGTCTGCGACGAGAATTGGACGATCGCTCTACACCCGCATTGACAACGGCTGTCACCACGTCATCCGACGAAGAATCCTCCAGCTTGGAAGCATTCGACCAGGACGAAGCCCAGCTATCGCCTTTCCACCACCTCGTCCTCCTCCTTGTCCGCTTCGCGTGCACCAGCTTCCCTCATCTCGTGCCCCGTGTCCTGTTTGCAGAAGAGACAATCGGCCCCCTGGTCCGCTGGAGGACGGGCGGAGGTGCTGCTGGCATCGTCCGCGAATTCACAAGCGACCATACCCCGACAGACAGGTCACCGACCAACGCAGAGACGTCCACAATACAGGATGCACCCAAAGCTCACTCGAAAGCAAAGCCCAAGCCACACCAAACGCATACATACACACGGCCCGGGTTCCGCGCCTTTTGGATTGGCGCCGATGCTCACGTTCCCGTCGAGGTCCGGCGCTCAGACCCTTCGTCCAGATCCGCCACCACCTTCCTCTATCTCCACGGAGGCGGCTTCTCGCTCGGCTCCGTCGCCTTTTACGCTGAAGCGCTCATCCGCATCATCACAAAGGTGTGCAGCCTCGAAGAGCGCGACAACGATGCTCGCTGCGTGGCGGTCGAGTACGATCTTGGGCCCACATCGCGCTTCCCCGGGCCTTTGCTCCAGTGCCTGCGGTGTTACGCCCATCTCATCGAGGTCGAGGGCATCGATCCGGCCTCCATCACCATCGCTGGCGACAGTGCTGGCGGCAACCTCGCCATGGCGCTCCTCCTCTGTCTCGACGGTCAGGCTCGCAACGAGCCAGGCCTGGCAGAGCGTGACTGGACCAGCCTGCCCATGCCCGGGAAAGCGGTGCTCATCAGTCCATGGGCAGACCTGCGGCCGTCGTCGTCGCTTGCCTTTGCCAGTCTCCGCGAAGCAGCTGCAGCAGACGCTCGCTCTGCCGCGCCTGCCGCGTCTGCTGCTGCGGCTCCTCGCCACAAGAGCACGAGCTCCCGGGAGCAGCAGAAGTCGGCAGCGTCCGGACGCGTGTCTGCTTGGACCGAAGCGATCGGCCAGCACGAGTGGGACTATGTTGCAGCTGAGGCGCTCATGCACTTTGCGCAGCTCTATGCCGGCGTGCTCAAGACTCCTCGCCGCGTCCGAGGTCCCATGGGATGGGTGGCCAACGTCTGTGCCGTCCTCGCCGGAGATGACGAGGTTGTTCCAGAATCCAGGACCTCAAACAAGAAAGGCGCAGCTGCATCCGCCGCTGCCTCGATTGGAGCGACCGCGCCGCTGGCCATCCTTCGCACGCTTCTTGTGCCGAGCCAGCGCATTGCGCGAGTCGCGCACACCATGCTCACCGAGCCCTTACTCCATCGCACGAGCACCACCAGATCCTCGGCGAGCTCGTCCGACGCATTCAACCAGGTCGAGCACATCCGACCCTCGGCGATCGGCGCGCTCGATCCCATATTTCCCGCATCCGAGCGCAAGACCGATCCCGTGCCTAGCACCGCCGATCTCTTTGTGCCGCTGTGGGACGATTCGCCTCAGGACGAGGACAAGGGCCAAGGGAAGGAGCATCGTCAACACGACCCCGAGTTCGAGGCGGCATGCACGTTGCTCGAGTCAAGCAAGCTCGTCAATCCGGCCATCGGAGACTGGAGTCGTATCCGCCTGAAGCGAGGCATGCTGGTGCTCTGGGGTGATCGGGAACGGCTCGCAGACGACATCGAGGCCTGGATCGATACCGTGAGGCAAGCGCAGTCGACACGACGCACTCGCGACGACCGACCGAGCCAGGACCTGGATCCCTCGCACGCCGACATCGCGGAGGGAAAGCATTCCTACACGGATGCTCCGCGCAGGACGCTGCAAGAGCGACGCGCCGCCTCTCGCTCGCCGCGCCGCCTCGCCGAGGAGGTGCGCGAGCACGCTGCCGACTGGGTATGCACGGCGGTGGAGCACGGCCCGGGCGGCGTGCACGCGTGGCCGTTCGTGTCGATGTACCTCGCCGGCTCGGACGCGGAGCGCGAAAAGGGCCTCGAGATCATTGCGCGCTTTGTGGCCGATCCCATGCTGAGCCCGGCATCGACACACCCGGGCACGCCGGCGTCCACGGTGGGATCGCTCGCTGTCGAGCTGCCCGTGGCGCAGGAGCATCGTCCGCTGAGTGTGGCGGTCAACTCGCCACCGCACTTGAATGCGGTCTCGCCCGCGGGATCGATGCCGTCCGACATCAGCTCGCGCGGAGACGAGTACGACTATCCCTTTGCGCCGTCGTCGTACACCGGTTCCGAGGGCTGGGATCCAAGCGAGCAGAACGAGCTCGGACTCGAGGGCGTGTATCCGCACGAGACTGTGTGGACGGAGCCGACGCCGACGCCGTCGACGGGCGCCGCCACTCCGGCCAGCAGCGATGCCGAAGCTGCGAGCATTGGGCACGACGAGCTGGCGCATCGCATCGGACTCGGGCTCGCGGAAGAGGCGCGCTACAGGGCAGAAGGGTCGACGCGCATGGAGCCGGTCCACCTCCATCATCCCATGCAGGGTCGCACCGCGTCCTGGCAGCAGGCAAGCAGTGTGCAAGCTGCGCCAGCGCCGGCGGCCAGCAGGTCTCAGCGCGACACCGGCAGCCGCCGTGGTCAACCTGCGGTGCTGGGTGGTCCTGTCGCCGGTCGCTCGTTGGCCGAGCTCGAAGCGGAGTCGGACCGCAGCGCGCCCCCGTCTGCGCCGTCGTCGCGTCCCGAGTCGCCGGGCTGGCGCTCCGAGAGTGTGGGCTACGACTCGCACGATGACGACCTGGGCGCCGCCTCGCCGCTGGAGCTCGACGCCGACTCGTACTTTGGCGCACGCTTCTCGTACGCCGACGATGTGATTCCCATGGATCCGGGCTTCTACGGGCTGTCGCACTACCACACGCTGCGACCCGAGGGGCTCTCGGACATTGCCGAAGAAGAGTCGCAGATGGACACGTCGTCCGTGCTGAGTGGCGGCCCGGGGGCAGGGGCGTTGTCGCCCGGATTCTCAAACCCGAGCTTTTCGCCCACCGACGGTGCATCGCCTGTGGTGGCAGCGGCTAATCCGGGGCGGTACGGTGCGGCGTACACACCGTCGGCAAGCGAGATGGCGCGGCTGCGAGAAGCGCTGGACGAGAGGGAGCGGCAGTATCGCCAGCGATTTGCGAGAAAGTTTGGCGCACCCAGCGCAGGGCAGGAGCAGAGAGGCGAGATGCTGCGAGGCCGCTTCGCCATCGAGGGAGATGACGCCGGGTCGATTGTAGACGAGTCGGACGGCGACGTGGACTCTCTCGACATGAACGCGCAGCAGGCAGCGGAAGCGAGTGGCGCCAGCGCGTGGCGCTCGTCTGCGGATCGGCGGGACTTGGCCCCGACGACCAAAGGAGAAGTCGCACGCCAAGGTGAGGCAGGGCCCACAACGAGCGGTGTTGCGGCTAGTGGCAGCTCACTTGTCGACGAAGGGACGGAGCGAGCGCCATCGCCGTCGCCATCGACCTCGTCGCAAAACTCGGGCGCCCGCGACGTGTGGTGGTAGCCGCACGGCCGCTCATATAGATGCGCACTCTCGCGCAGTGCACAGGTTTTCAGTCTCACGCATAGCATCGTTCGTTATATACACACATGTGCACAGTCATTTCAGAGCGATATGTAGATGACCAGCTGCCGCCCCTAGCTTGGGTATGAAGCGGAGATGGAGGTGTAGCTAGCTGGTCGGGAAGTTTCAGCGCCAAGGTGTTAGTTTGGCGGGGCGAGGGTGAGGTGCGACGCGTAAATGGACGCAGGAGACCCTGGACTTGGACGGGTGGCGCGTGTTGGGCTCCCCGATGCGGAAAAGGAATGGCACGCGTGTTGGTGCTGGGGGAGCGTGCGCTGCGTGGCGGACAGGCAAGCCACTGAGCTCTAAAGGCTGAGCCCCGACTGAAGACGCGCGCGCGCTCTGTTGGTCTTTGCGATGGCCTCTGCGTCGACTCAGCTTTCATCCCACCCACCGTCACTCTTTTCCTTGTAACGACCACAAACCAGACAAACATGTTCAGCCTTTCGACAAGACAAACTCTCCTCCGCGGCACTCGTGTACGTTGATCATCTCCAACCTCTCTGCTCAGCTCTTTTGCAACTCTTTTGACTGACGGTGTGATTATCGTGTTGGGATTTTAGATGCTGTCGACTTCGGCCGTGCGCAACGACCTGGCACGCATGCAGGTGCTTGGTCGTCTTGCTGCCGACCCTGAGATCAAGACCACCAAGAACGGCAAGGACTACGTGCGGTACACTGTTGCCACCTCGGACCCTCCCACTGGTCCCGTCGAGGAGGGCGAGCGTCCGGAAACCACCACGTCGTACCACCGATTCTACGTGTTCGGCGACCGCGGCGTGGACAGGATGAAGAACATCAAGAAGGGCTACCGCGTGCTCGTGGATGCCGAGTTCAGGATCGAAAGGACCCCCGCCGAGGCCGACCAGCCCGCCCGCGACACGCTCCTCGCTCTGCACCGTAAGTGCCATCCCAGCCTGGCATGGGAATGAGTCTTTACCACGAACGGCTATGCTGACTCTTCTGGCCCCTTTTTCGTTTTCTGCAATCGCTTGTGTGGATCGACGGCCGTGATCGTGTGCAGGTGGCATCCAGGTCATCTCGAAGCCGCGCGAGGCCACCGAGTCTGCCTAAACCACTCGACCCTAAACCAAGTAATGGCATGATCTGAAAGGTCTAGTCGCCCCTGCTTGCGTCTGTACACGCACCTCACCGCTCATCCGTGGAATGCATGGCCACCTCGACCCGAGATGATCGTCCGTGCTGCGCGTGGATGGACTGAGCGATCCGTCACTGACGCCAGGTTAGCGATTGCGGGTCTTTGTTAGGGCGTAAAAGTGCACATGAAAGCGAAAAAAATGTGTCGTACGTGTCAGCGGTGAGCGCAAGGGCGCGGGCTGAGGTGCTTAGGAAATCCCTTATGGCAGGCCGCGTGACTCGGAGGCGCAGGCGGCAACCCGAGGGTTCACTTGACTGGCCAAGCAACCGGCAGGGCTTGCATAAGGCAGCCGCGGGCAAGGTGAGGCGCTTGCCCAAAAATCGACGAAAATTTCAACCTCTTTAGCCGTGTGCTGTTGCTGCTTTGAGCGGGGAAGAGACTGCAAAATGCCGCGCGGCTCCAGCCTCCGGACCGTCTGCTATGGCGATCCTACCTTTGGCGAGCTTAAGACGAATTGCCGCAACATCCTTGCGTGCTCGCTTGTGTGAAAAAGAAGGCTCAGAACAGCGAAAAGAAGATTCAAGGGTCGAGCCTCGCGGAGACACACACGAGAGAGAGAGAGAGAGAGAGAGAGA